TTTACTAAAGTATATACTAAACTAGAGGCCCGGTGCACGACATTCGTGCACTGGGGGGAAAGGGTCCCTCAGCCTGGCCTGCGCCCTCGCGCCGGCAGTCAGACATCCCCCAAGGGGTCCTTAGTGCTGCTGCGGAGGTGGGAGAGGCTCCTGCCACTGCTGCTGTGCTCACCAGCCATGAGCCTGGCTTCTGGCTGAGTGGTACTCCCAGTACTGACCGCAAGGGGGCAGCTCCTGTATTGAGCGTCTGCCCCTTGGTGGTCAGTGCGCATCATAGCGACCAGTCATTCTGCCATTTGGTCGATTTGCATATCAGCCTTTTATTATATAGGATAGGAAATGTAAAGCAGGGTTTGAGGGATAGAAATGTGGGAGTGTTGCAGTTTCATGCCAGGTAGTTAGGAAAGGCCTCTTAATAAGGTGACATTCTGGAGAAGTCTTTGAGGAGTTGATGGAAGAAGCTGTGTATATGTGGGGAAGAGTATTCTAGGCATACGGGACAGCAAGGGCAAAGGCCCGAAACAGGGGTGTGCTCAATATTTGAAGAATAGCAAGGAAGCCAGAGTGGAGAGGGGTGTAGCAGATGAGGTCAGGGAGGTCACAGTTGTGGAGGGCCTCCTAGGTCATTGGCTTGTATTCTGATTTAGAGCGGGAACCACTGAAGGGAGGAGTGTCATGATCTAACTGACCTACATTTAAAAAGGATGCATTGAGTGCTGAGTGGAGAATAAACTATAGGAGGGGAAAGGTAGAAGCAGGAAGTCCAGGTAGGAGACCATCGAAATAATCAAGACAAAGGATGATGGTAGATTCCACCAGTGTTGTCATGGAGGTGCTGAGAAATTGTCAACTTCTGGAAATAGAGCTAAATAGGATTTGCTGCTGTGTTGAGTCTTTGGTGACACAAGGTCGAGAATTGACTTGCCATTTTCTGAGCTGGAAGACTTGCCAAAGAACAGGTGTGGATTTGGGTACATGAGACATTAGACATCTACTCAGCAAAGTTCCATAAGCAGTTGACTAGTTGGGTTCTTGGACACACACACGCACACACACCTTCAGTACTCATGTGCACACATGCATACACACAAGGGAGAGGTGGTCCAGGCAATACTTACACACTTTCTCTACAGAAGTCTGTAGATGGTATTGCCAAATCCATAAAGATTGAGCTCTGGAACCCTCCCTGGGTAACATCATGAGGAGCAGTGGTCCTCGAGGTAGGAGCAAAGTGTAGAAAGAGTATTCTATGAAGCCGTGTTCTCCTGTCAGAGAGGCTGAAAGTTTGAGTAAGAAAGAGCCAGAGAATTTGCCATTGGCTTTGGCAATACGAAGACCACTTCAGATGGGTGGCTTTGGTGAAGCATTGACAGGGAGAACTTGATTGCAGCAGGTTCAAGTGAGACTAGGAGGGGAGGTAGTAGAGAGAGCCAGTAGAGCAGCTCTTTTGAGGAGCTTTTCTGTAAAGGGAACAGAAATAGAGCATTATCAGCAATGGAGTGGAATGGGGACAATGGGAGGTGGGGTATTTTTGAAAAGTGGGAACCAGGGCATTATAGCATGTAATTTCTACTTTCTATAATTTCTGTTTTCTCTGAAACAGTAAGCAAGGCCATGCATGACTGTGCATGACTAGGTAGTGTCTGCATTTCTGCCCAAGTGGGTATTTTTGGCCTGTATTTACATTTTCAAACATGGTATTCATTTAACCCTTGCTTTTGATAAACAATAAGCAATTCTTTCGGAAACTCAGAATGGGTCCAAAAATTTATTCTTATGTGAAATGATTTAACAGGCTCTCCTTGTTGGCTTCTCTATAGGTCTGTCTCCTTACAGTATAAAAATGGAAGGAAATCACGTGTGTATGGGAAAGGGAGAGATGAATATCTGACATACAGTTGCCTTTAGTGAATATTAAGGGAGACTTGAGAGGCGGAGGAAGCTCAGATGTTTTCACTTATATCACCAATGTAGCAACTGTTTATCTGTGTCCCTCTTTGTTTAGTTACTTCTCCTTGGAAAAACTCAAGAGATGGTGTTGGATTGTAACTCTAGATGCTTAGCTGAAGAAGCGCCCACATCAGAACGAGACATCCCCTCTGAGTTCCCTCTTGGAGGGTTTTCCAGGACTAGGGCAATCTGATGAAGTCACAGACTTGATATAAATTTCTCTTTACGTAGCACCTTTCTCGAGGAACACAGAGTATTCTGTGGGCATTATTTTACCAGTTCAGGAGGAGTTACGTAAGCCTGGAGAGCCGAACAATCAAGCCCTGTTATTCTAAGCATTATTTAATACGCTGATGATTTGTCCTTCAAAGAATTTTTGGCCTTCGGGCAAGCAACGGACTGCAAGTGGGAGAATTAGCTATTAGCCTTGTTTCTGTCACTGCATCAGCGCCGGGGTCTCCTGGGACTGGCTTCGGTCATGGGCTGGGCGGTGGCTTGTCCTCACAGCGAGGCTGCGTCTGCCTCCCCAGGACATCGCCCGTGCTGGTGGGTCCCCCCGTGTGCGTTGGATGCGTGTCATGTGCTGTGGGTCGCAGCATTCTGGCTGCATGCAGGGGAGATGGTATTCGTTCCCGACATCTGATGTGAGTCTTGAACTTGTTCTGTTTATTTCTTTGGCTGCCGTGGCTTTTGGTCACATCCTAGTCTAACGACTGAAAGAGGGCAGCTGTGCTCTTTTCTAGCCCGAAGTCCATTTGTCGGGAACAAGACTCGCATTTTTGAATTCTTCCCCCTCATTAATGATTGGGAAGCAGCAATGAAAGCTTTTTTTTTTTTTTTTTTTTTAATATGGAAAGGGTATCGGCTTCTCTCCCATCCCTGTCGCCATTCACTCGGAATATCTGTGGTTTGCCTTCCCCCGGGTGCCAGCGCCTCTTCTCGGAGGTATAAACTCACACAGGGCCTGGCAGAAGCTGCAGACAGGATGTTGACTCTCGAGTGTCTTGACGGACTGACTGACTCGGAGGCCCCGTGGAGGTGCTCCGTGGCTCCAGGCAATCTGTGTTCCTAGCCAGGCCTCAAAGCCCACGGTCTGAAAGTGCTTGCTTCACAATTCTGGGGCCGGTGGACCGACGGGGATCTGAAAATTACATTTTTTTCTTTTTGGTCGGAGGGACCGAGCACGTGAAAGCTGTGCCCACAACCCCCTGTTAACTCCTGACCGGCCTGCCTCTTGCTTCTCAGGTGTGCGATCCTTAGTCAGCCCATAGGTGCCCCTTGGGATGGTCTTCTGCCACCCGTGTGACTGTGGGCTTCAGAGCTGTTTACCAGAATGCCCCCCGCATCCGTGAGGCCCCCCTCTGTGGGGTTGTCCAGTCATCCTTTGGGTCACTTCATTTATTTCATGTTTATTTGGAACGTGCTCCATGCAAGGCCCCAGGGGTCCACAAGTTTTCACTTAGTCAAGGCATTTGAGGAAGAGGCCTCTTAGGGACCAAGTGGCCTCCGTAGGAAAGGCCACTGTCACTCAATCCTCACAGAACTCTTGAGAGGTGAGGCGCGTTGTCTCAGCTTGTCACTGAGGCATCTGAAACTCTGAGCTGTGTTAACTTAGTTTTGAGAGTTCCCCAAATAAAGCATTTTAAAGGCACCTGAAAAAGAAACAACCCACCCACACAAATAATTCAGACTCTCTTTACACGATACCCTAGATATGTGGAAATGATTTGAAAGGAGTGTGGATAGGAAAGTGTATTTCCTGACCCACTTAATGTTTATGGAGATCCTCTTAAAGCTGTGAAGGACAATTGAGTGTCCAACAGTTGTGCTTCAACGCTGATTTTGAGGTTGACTCAAGTCATTTCTAATGAATAAATAAAAGCTTGCAGACACAGGAGCACCCGCTGAGGATCCAAGGGTCTGTTTTAGAATTAGATTCCTTTATACCAGAATTCTTGTAAAACACAAGGAGAAATATGACATAAAACATGTCTTCTGCTTCCAAGGAGATGTGAACATTGTAAAATTTCAGAATTAAGTCATATGAAACTGTCTCTGCCTTTTTGAAAATCCAGATGATTCTAAGCCAATTTTTTTTTTTTTTGGCAAAGAAATATAATCAGTTTTTAAAAACAATAGGCTCAGAGAATCTCAAGTGCCTGTTAGGGACTACTGGAGCTGGGAGGTGAATTGGGAATGACGACAAAGCGCTTGCTTTTGTTGGATGTCTTCGGTTGCCGGAGGGAGCATAATTTAGGTGCCGAGGCGAGCATCTGCAGGGCAGGTGCCACGAGTTAATGCCAGAGAAGACAAAATAGTTGGCACACCACTTCTCATTTCGTTATTGAACCCAGAGCCAGAAAAAATATGTTTATATTCTTTTGAAGTGGGACTATGTTGTCTCTTTTTATCCTTGGGCTTCACACACACAAACTATTCTCAAGATATTTGTTAAGCATCGTTTAACAGCTTAGAGTGTAGGCTGATTTCTTTTTGTGTGTGTGCTACTGTAAAGAAATAAAACTGATCGTCAGATCTGAATTCTGTTGTCGTTTGTAAAATCTCTGAGATACAGTCGTAGAAAAGTTTGAATGTCATCTAAGCATTTAAAGCAGGAGTTGGCAAACTGTTTCTTTCAATAAAGTTTTATTGGAATGCAGCTGCCCCCCACTCATTTACATATTGTTTCTGACAGGCTGCTTTCCTATGACCACTGCAGCACTGAATAGTTGCAAGAGTCCTTCAGGCCCGGAACCCTGACATAGTTACTATTTGGCCTTTGAGAGGAAGGTTACTGCACACCATGTTGTAAGGTGTTGGAAGACTGGCCACAAGGGTCTCTCCCCACCTCAGATTGTGGGTCCTGACCTCCTGTGTTTGTTAGAAGCACCGGTGCATGCAGAAGAAATGGCCTCGGAAAAAAACATTGGAAAAGAACGGGTGGTATCTCTCCTCCGGAGGAATTGTTTTCTATTGTAAAGTGAAGAGGACCCACCCGGGCTGGTGTCTTCACGTCCCTCTAACTGCAGCCTTCTTTGTTTATGTGGCAGTTATCTTTGTGAACTTGAAGGCCTACCGTGTGGAGGAGGCATTAGACTGAGTCCTGGGCCGCTGAAGTAGGACTTGTGGGTGCAGCCGACTGTGAGGCTACACTTCAGCTCCAGAAGGAAGAGCGCTTGCTAGGAACTGCCCGTAACCGCATGGGCCCACTTAGCGGAGAGTGAGCTCCCTGTCAGTAGACTCATTTCCATCAAGGTTGTGTCCGAGGACCTTGGAGGCCCCATTCCAGCCTTAAAATTCTAATGGCCTATTTGGTTATGGTTCTTTGTTTCCAAACTCAGATGTTGTTGACAGTTTCTTTTGTTGAGGGCCTGCCTTATGATATTCTCTTTACTCCTAGTTGTAGAATTTCCACTCAGCCAGCCCTCCTGTGGCTCTGGACGTTGTCCTTTCCCTGGATCAAGCTTAATTTGACTTAGTTGTTCCAGGCAGCAATCTCTGGTGTTAACCTATGCCGCCATCTTCGGTTCCCACAGGAATTGTTTTCTATTGTAAAGTGAAGAGGACCCACCCGGGCTGGTGTCTTCACGTCCCTCTAACTGCAGCCTTCTTTGTTTATGTGGCAGTTATCTTTGTGAACTTGAAGGCCTACCGTGTGGAGGAGGCATTAGACTGAGTCCTGGGCCGCTGAAGTAGGACTTGTGGGTGCAGCCGACTGTGAGGCTACACTTCAGCTCCAGAAGGAAGAGCGCTTGCTAGGAACTGCCCGTAACCGCATGGGCCCACTTAGCGGAGAGTGAGCTCCCTGTCAGTAGACTCATTTCCATCAAGGTTGTGTCCGAGGACCTTGGAGGCCCCATTCCAGCCTTAAAATTCTAATGGCCTATTTGGTTATGGTTCTTTGTTTCCAAACTCAGATGTTGTTGACAGTTTCTTTTGTTGAGGGCCTGCCTGTAGAGGCCTCTTCGATGATTTTCTGAAAGTATAATCGTGGTAAAATAAAAGCAGTTTAAGAGGGGAGACTTGCTTCTGGTGGGCAGGGGAGGGTAGAGGAGGGACCCAGGGGCCGCAGATCGGGCACTGTTTTCTACTGGCCCTAAAGCCTCAAAAAACGAACCAACTGTCTTCAGCCGCTGCTACCATCTTTGCTTTCTGCCTGGGCTCCCGGAAAGAGAAAAGACTGGCTGCCACAGATATAGAAATAAGTTAGAATAGGGTTTCGGTATCACACTTTGCCAGAGAGTTCATAGTGGGACTTGGCTGTGAACAGCAGCTCTGGGTGAGGCCATACATTCTCTGGGCAGCTCTGCTGTTAGAGGCCAAGAGTGGCCGTAGACAGTGCATGCATGAATGAGTGTGGGCGTGTTGCAGCAAAACTTTATTTATAAAAGCAGGCACCGGGCCAGATTTGATCCGGGGGCCATAGCTTGCTGACCCCTGATATGGACATTGAAAGCTAGAACTGGCTAGAAAGCATCCATTCCAGTTCTTTCCTGTCTTAGAGGAAAGGTGAAATGACAGGTCCAAAGTCACACCAGGCTGAGCCAGGGCTCCAGCCTAGAACCTGACATTTAGATTCGTGCCCATTTTATGCATCTGTGCAGCCGAGTTACAGCGTTTGGTTGATCGAGGGTCCTGCGAGTGCAGCAGCGAGAGCTCCAGGGTGCTATTTGAATCGAGGCAGCCGTGCAGCCCTGCGAGCTGGCCTCACTTTTCCCGAGATGGACCCTGTTCACACTCAAACAAAATATACGTTGCGTACGTCTACACGGAGAAAGAACGCCCCGGAGTTGTGAAAAAGCCGGGCTCCCGCAGCTGCGTCACGGGATTCGATCACTGCGGCCGGCGGTGCCAGGAGATTTGAGACAGATGTTTTCAGACATGCCGCATGCCTAAAACATTTCCAGGGGTCGGGCTGCAACGGTGACTTCATAAGCGGAGAAACAGGGAAAGTATGCGAGGCGAGGACACAAGCGTTTATTCACCACGAGGTGCATGGCCAACCTCTTTGCATTACATCTGCCTGTCAGGGTTGGCTCTTTCATCTGTCGTGCCCTCGGTACTGCTCTTTGTCTGCCCGTGAATAAAGTGCAGCATTGTGGTTAGTAATCCCACTGCAGTGACTCGACTTCAAATGTGGTTTTGGAGTGCATCCCAGAGTTCTGTTTGCTAAGCTTCCTACTCCTGTTTCAGAGACACCACTGGATACAGAGCAGCGAGCACTGACGGCTTCCCTCCTTCCTTAAACCTGTCGGGTTGTGGGCTCTCTCTTTCCCCCTCGCGCCCCTTTTCTTTCTTTTTTTCACCTTCTTTTTTTTTTGGAAACCTTCTGAGGCAAGTTCATGGATACTAAGCTGATGTGTTTGTTGTTCTTTTTCTCCCTGCCTCCGCTCCTAGTGAGTAACCACACTGGCCGCATCAAGGTGGTCTTTACTCCGAGCATCTGTAAAGTGACCTGCACCAAGGGCAGCTGTCAGAACAGCTGTGAGAAGGGGAACACCACCACTCTCATTAGTGAGAATGGCCATGCTGCCGACACCCTGACGGCCACGAACTTCCGAGTGGGTGAGTTCCTCCACAGTCCCTGACTGTCCTTATCGAGTAGTTTTATGAGATCGTAGCATTTAGATGCCGCCCCCCCCGCCGCCCCACTGCCCATTCACACACTGCTCTCTGTTTGAATGGGTTTCTCTGAGTCTAAATATGCTTCTTCCCCCACTCCCCCCAAGAGACCTTTTAAATTACTTTTGGAATAATTTTTAGACTGGTTCTTAGAGAAATGGCAACTAGGGTATTGCCCCTTACTGCTTATCATTGAGGCAGCCGTGTGGTGATGGGGACGTATCAGTTGGACGGAAGGAAATAGTTTGAGATGAAGACCACAACTTGGGCTGATTGACCAGATCTCCTCTCCTCAGTGATACATAGGATTTATGTTAGATGTGACCCCTGTTGTAACGTTTGGAAGGTGGTGATTAAGTTTAAATTTGTACTCCACAAATATGTTCTAAAGAAATTTTAAAAATTGTTGGAGCCCTGTGTTTTAGCCTGTAGAAAGGGACACGGACTTGCACCTTTGGCTGTGTTTCTGCTCTCTATCAAAAACCTGAATTATAAATTGATAGAGGACATAGATTTTGGGGGGATATATGCTGGTGGATTACTGTCAGCACTAGAAACCTTTGAATATTTCATAAATAATTTAAATATGAACCATAGTCATGACTGACTGCAAGAAAAAAAGGCTTTTAACTTTTTTTTAAAAAATTTTTGTTTCTTTTTTACTTTTTTGTAAGTGGGGAAAGTATTGCGGTCCACCGAATGCTGTCACACTGCCAGGTTGTCATTCAATACAGTATTTTTGTCACGGAAAAATGTCTTTTATTATTTCTTTGACCAATTATGGTTTGCCATATGTACTCAAATAATCACAGACACCCACGTTACTTTACGAGTTACTCACAAGAATTACCCAAATGTCAGACAGATAATAACACTGGCTAGATCTGGTCTTTTTATGGAATATTGCTGTTTAGTCTTGGGAGTGTATGTCTCGGGGGTGGGGGGGTAAGAGAAGGGGGGGTGTCTATTTCAAACTGATTTCCATCAAGACAGAACACAGGGAGGCAGCTTGAGGTCCTTATTTGCTCTTGAATTATTCTGCTTTATTGCGACTCCTAATCCTTATGAGGTCTCACTCAGGTTGATGTTCGTCTGTACTTGGAAAAAGCATGCGCCATAGCTACTATTTAAAAAGGTATTGTGAGTTTCCTGGCTACAATAGGGGTGCTTTAGGCATCTTTTTAAAAGAATTTAGCTGTCAGGTGCCAAATGGCACATTACGCTCAGCAGGGCAGAGAGCCGAGTCTAATGGGAAGTGTGTGGAACTGACGATCAGGAAACCGGATTCTGGTCCTTGTCCTGCCACTAATGACCAGCTAATCCACAGGACATGACAGTTCATATTTCTGAACCTCAGTGTTTCTCATCCATAAAACAAATGGCTTAGGTGTCGTGCTCCCTGAAATGCAGTGCACCTCTAAAACCTTATGCGCTTGAAAGAGGAATAAGTAATATGATTTTCAGGCTTTTTCAGAGGGTTATAGACACGGAGGGGGAAGGGAAAAGACAGTTCCAAGCAGGTTATTGTGGGCTGAATGGCTTTTCTCACTTTTACTTTTCTTGATTGTTTTCCTTCCTCTCCTTGCTGTCCCTCCTCCATCGCCAACAACGCCTGCTCCCCCACCCCCTTGCATTTTTCACAAATCCTTACAGTAGGAATGACAAAGTAATCGGATGGGTGATAATTTTTTGGCTCACAGTGTATTCATTTTGAAACTAAATATTTAAAGACTTTGAGAAACAGAGGAAGTCTGCTTGTTAAAACACGCCACACACTTTCGTCCTCTGGCATTTGAGCAAATGTTTAGGAACAGAATACAGGTAACCTGTTCAAAATTTAAAATGCAGAAAAATTATTTACAGAAACATTTCAAAACCAGCACTCAACTCTGTCACAAAAGGATTGGCAGGGTAGTTTAATAAAAGCAAAGTAAAATAAAAGAGGGTGTGGGCGGGGTGGTAGTAAGGAACAGTTTCACATCGGAAATCATGGGAACTATTTCATTTACATCCTGAGCTATATCTACTGGATAATTTGAGGGACAAGTTTTATTTTTTTCAAGAATGGCAATTTTGTAAAATTTATAGATTATGGTTCTTCAGACAAACAGAAAATTTTATAAATCCATTTTTCAGACATACATGATATCTTTGTGGACTTTACTGGTTTAACAGAACTTTATTAATTACATAGAAAAGTGGTTTTTCAAATGTATTGCTTTTCTCCCTATATAGATATTTGTTTATATTATATTAAATCTTTTGACACATAAGATACGTGTATACGGAAAAATAGAACAGTGTGAGGAAAATCCAAAATTTACTGTAACTTGTTAGCAATTCTCCTTGGCCTCCAATAACTTGTTAACTACTGTTTTTGGTTATAAAAGATGGGGGCTGGCAAAATCTTTCTGTAAAGGGCAGATGGTAAATATTTTAGACCTCTCAGCCATACAGGTTGTGTCCCAACCACTCAACCCTGTCCTGGTCATCACAGCAGCCGTAGACAGTATGTTCGAGAATGGGTGTGGCTGTTGCAAAAACAGTCAGTTGGCCACATTTGGTTTGAGTGCCATAGTTTGCTGGCCCCTGCTCCAAGAAGTCAGAATAATACAGGGAAAACCATATGGACTTCATAGTCAAGGCACCTTAATGAAATAATCCATTTTGATCATTGGAACAGCAGAACAGCTTTTGAATTTACATGGTGATTTCCAGGGGTGTGTGTGTGTGTGTGTGTGTGTCTTAAAGAAATGGAAGAAATATTATTGTCACTGCTTTTTTCGATAAGGAACCGTAGGCACAATGGCTTATGTGAGTTTGCCTTAGTACAGATTAAGTCAGCGAGATGTAGATCTTAGATCTCCTTATGTCCCCTGTTTACTTAACTCCATGAGGCCTGACCATGATGTGTAGGAGGGACAAGGTGAAGGGCCTTGTGGAGGGCTGAGTGTGTGGGAAGGCTCAATGATATAATAGAAAATAAACAACTGAGACGCCAACAGCCTTGGGTTCAGATCTGGCTTCATTAAGCCCTTGGGCACGTTCTGGCTTTCATCTTCTTGGGTCCGTGTCGCTCCGCTGCACGATGCAGGGGATGACCGGTCTGCAGAGGGTGGTTCTGTAGGAGGCACAGGGTTAGCCTCTTCCTTCTAGCCTGCGTTTCCTGTGCTGGTGTTTCTGGCCCCTGCTGATGGTGAGCTGGGCTGTTCCGATGCGAGAGGCAGGCGCGCTTTTCATTACTCTTCAGCACATGCTGTCTGTTTTTGAGTATTCAGCTGGGGAAATCTTAAGTATAACTTCCACTTAATGTGCCTTTAATAGTGAGGCCCGAATGAGGATGACATCCAAGAAAAGTACTCTGAGATTTTAGAATAAACTCATTTTTATGAACGTGATATTAGTGTGATGTAACAGAGTATTTACACTAAGTGGTATTTCCTATAACATAAGCAGATTTTTAATTATAATAACGTTGTGTGTGTGTGTGTGTGTGTGTGTGTGTGTGTGTGGCATTCCGAGCTTTGCCTTCTTGTTCTCCCTGCCTTTGCCTTCTTAGAAAATGGAAACATGTCCCCAGTTGGGTGGGCAGCAGGTTAACTGTTGTTACTTTAGCGGATTCTTTCCATTCCATAGGGATATAGTGAAGATGACCTTCTGGTATTTTTAAGTTGTTTATAGAATCACAAGTTCCTCTAATAAGAAGAGCATAGGAATTCATGTTGTCACAGCTAGAGCATTTCAAATAAAATAATACTGCCCCTTGGCAGAAGTTATTTATAGAGACATTGAAAAGCCATTGGGATTGCTAAAATAACACATTTGGTTTGTAGGATGCTTTCTCTGAGAGGTTACCAGGGCCTTGCATTCCATTAGCACCAATTGAATAATTAATTCGATAATTTAAAAAGTAAGTTCCCCTATGTTACTTTATTTGATGCTTTTTCCCCCTGAGAAAAAGTAAATGGTGGTATTACATTTTGTAGATATGCGGACCAAGGCTTTCGTGATTTGCTTCAAGGTGACTTTAAATCACTTTTCCTATCCAGGAGTCCAAATACCTCCTGCCCTCCCATGGTGCCTCCTGGGACCAAATATTGAGTGATTATATATAAAACACTGTCTTTGATTTTCCAGGAGAGGCAGATCCTACAGCTGCCCTCTCAGAGCGTATATTTGAAGGAGATGAGGAGTGTACATAAATAACCTTAACTCAAGGTAGAAATCTCCCTGCAGGAGCCCAGAGGGGGAGGAGCTGTTCCTTTGAGCTGAGGAGGGATGCTCTGAGAAAAGGGGTAGCATGCAGTTTTTCTGTGTAGTTCACCAGGCCACCCCCAGCTGCTAAACAGATTGGCTCATGGTGGGGTCTAGGTAAATGCATGTGGCTGGTTGGCAATGGAGGGGCAGGGGCATTCAACTTAAAACATTGGTAGGTTCTAAAATAAAGGTGGACGGGAAGTAGAGGGAAAGGAGAGGTAAAGTTGATGTGGGAAGTATTTACCCATCAGAAATAGGCATGGAGACAAGAAGGCACAGATGGTTTCTGGGAATTGGCAGTAGTTTCCCTTAAATATAGAAAGAATAAAAGGGAGTGACAGATGACAAGTCCAGGAAAGTAGATTGGGGCAAGGCTATGAAGGGGCTTCGATTGATGTCAAGCTTAGGAATTAGGACTTTGCTCTTGTGGATCTTACCGTCCTCTGGAAAGGGGACATTGACATTGATCATTTCGTAGAAAAGAGGGGAGTTGTGTGTTTAAGGTAGGAAACTGGTGTTTTGATAGTCTTAGCTTCTGAATAGCCCCTAGTAACGGTGACAACCTGGAGACGCCTTGAACTGCCCTGAGGTTGGCGTGCTGCTCTGCTGCAGCTTAATCCTCCAGCCTTTGATGGGGAATGGAGGCGGGCCATGCTGCCGCACTCATTATGTAGGCTCTCCTCCTA